AGTGATACGAACGGAATGAAAATAGTGCCAAGTGATCATGAGGTCTGACTTTTTAGAGGACGATGGTTTTGTGATGCAAATGTATCACTCTTTTGAACACAGATTGTTTTGAGAATAAAAATGTTTTATTTTACTGTCCCCAGACAACCTGCCGGACGACTTTCATCAACACTGAAAACGGCCAGAGTCTCGGTTCACCGACGCTGTCGGGGGTAAAGTCAGAGTGGATGCACGACACTGCTCACGGGGATGACACACAGATTCATGTCAAAAAACCTGAACTATCCCTTTAATCTGAGCTTTGACCAGACTGACCTGAGCTGCAGCAGGTGTCAGGGGTCACTCTGACCTCAACACGACCAGGACCACAGGGAAAGGAAGTTTGCTTTTTTTAGTTTTCAAAAAATCTGAAGCTCTTTTGGCTTCTGTTACTAATGTGTGTTTTGTGTCTCCATGGTAACTGCTGAACATTCTGTCATGCACATACATGTGGAACACCCCCAGAGTACAGATAACAGTGTTGTAATGATGGCGGCTCACGTACGTCTCCCACACACACGGGGTCGAGCGTGGGCAGCTGGTACACCGCCAGGCTGTTGGGGTTGTCTCCTCCGGTGGCGAGCAGCGTCCTGGACGGGTTCAGCTCGATGGCGTGGATGCCGCAGCCCATGTGCTCCAGACGGGGGCGCGAGCGAGCAGAGTACCTCACCACGGAGCCGCCGGAGCCCAGGGACGTCTCCCGGTCCCTCAGCATGGGGATCCTCGTGATCTGACCGCTCAGGACGTCCACCACGAACAACTGTAGACGCACACACAGACACACAGAGAAACACACACACACGGAGACAGAGACGCACACACGGAGACACACACACACACAGAGACACAGACGCACACAGAGACACACACAGAGGGCAGAGGTCAGAGGAGGAGTCCTTTTACATGATGTTTCTTAATTCTGAATTAATTTTTCTGAATTAAACACTTCAGAATTCAAATATTCTCCTTGGAGTTTACATGAAAATAATAATTCTAAATTCAGGTTTACATGGAAAACTCGTTAAATCGTCTTTATTTAATTGGGCTCAACGTCTGGGGGTGGGGAAGCTGCTCCCGGCTTTTCTGTCATCTCGGTTTGTCGTTATTCCACAGAGTGTGAGGCTGTTCTACCTCAGCCCACTCCCACATCCCGCTCACAAATCCAAAGAGACGTGGATCAGAGTCCCGAGACACGACCGGTGGAGCCGGATCGTCAGGATCGACGCGTCAGAAGGACGACACGACGAGCACGAAGAACCAGCAGCATTTTAACAACAACAAACCACAAACACGATCTGGAATAAACCACCCACTTATTTTGGAATTAAGTTTAATTTTTATTCTGAATTAACACTCCCATGTAAACGCGGCCGCTCTCCTCCCTCTATGGTTAACCTCCCGCTCAGAGATAAACGGACGTGTGTTTTGGCGGCGGCTCTCACCGTGTTGCACTTGGTGCCACACACCACCTGCCTCTGGTTGAGCCATTGTGAAGCGAACACTTTGTTGAGGCGTCCCAGGGACAGCTGTCGCTCTCGCAGGATCCCGGGGAGACGGGCGGCGGCGACGCCTCGGAGACGACCTTCGACCTGCAGCTGAGGCCGGAACTCTCTGCCCCGGACGGCGCACACCACCGACGGGCGCGGGTGCCAGCGCAGGGAGGGGCGGGCGAGGCGGGAGCGCTTCAGGCACCAGCCCACCTGAAAACACAAACACACACGAGAGAGAATATAATAACACACTAATGTTTACACCAGCACACCTGAAAACACACACGAGAATATCATCATTAGGGGTAGCACAGGTAGCAACGTTTTTAAATGTTTTTTAAATAATTAAAGTTTATTTTTGTGTTTTTTCAGTTACAGTCTTTATCTCTGCTGTCCTCTAGTTTGTTTGTTTGTTTTTCCGGTCACTTCCCTTTTTCCCGAACTTGTCCAGTCATGTTAAATAAAAAACCTAAACTGCATCCGCGGCTCCGGACTTTTATTACCACGGCTAGAACATAATAATATACTAGTTTACTCTTTAAACATGAGGAGTGGAGTTTTGTGAAACATGTAAATGAGATAAAATATATTTCTGTGACACACTCAGACATTTGTCACAGCCTGAAATAACAGATTGTACTGAGAAAATGATGTGTAACACTTCATTAACGGGTAAAAGGGAAAGTTTTAATAGAAAAATTAAGAAAAAAAAGCCAGGCGTCCCGGTTTTAGACCCGGTTTAGTCCCAATTTTAGTCCTGGTTTCGTCCTGGTTTTAGACCCGATTTAGTCTCTGTTTAGTCCCGATTTAGTCCCGGTTGAGTCCTGGTTTTAGTCCCAATTTTAGTCTTGGTTTCATCCTGGTTTTACACCCGATTTAGTCTCAGTTTAGTCCTAGTTTAGTCCTGGTTTAGTCCCAGTTTAGACCCGGTTTAGACCCAGTTTAGTCCCGGTTTAGACCCAGTTTTAGTCCCAATTTTAGTCTTGGTTTCATCCTGGTTTTAGACCCGATTTAGTCTCAGTTTAGTCCTAGTTTAGTCCTGGTTTAGTCCCAGTTTAGACCCGGTTTAGACCCGGTTTAGTCCCGGTTTAGTTCCGGTTTAGTCTCGGTTTAGTCCCAATTTTAGTCCTGCTTTAGTCCTGGTTTGTGTTTCGTTTGTAAATTTGTCCTTTTTTTATCTGTCAGCAGTAAACATTACGTATTTCTGATGCAATAAGTTAATTTGTTTGCCCGGTGACCATTGATCAGTGACATGTCCAGACACATTTACAACACGAACATGAAGAAAACCTTTTACTACGACAGAGTATAATACGGTTTATAATAAAAAATAAAATAAAACACAAGTGTCACGTTCTGTAATCCTCTGCCCGTTGTAAAACCGCGTTACAGCGACTTTTAAAACACTTTCTGTCATTTCTGTCCCGGTTTCGTCTTGTGGCGTTACCGGAAGAGGCTCTCGCAGCTTCCGGTCAGGTTCAGGATTAAGTTCACCTTCACGAAAACAACAAATCTCTCTTTTTTTTACTCAAATGTCACTTTATAAAACCACAAACACGCGGTTCACGGGCGGCGACTGCGATCTGACACGGCGTCATTCAAAATCCTTTAAGTTTAAAAAAGAAAACAAATTAAAGTCGAACCGAGGCTAAAGGCTAACGAAGCTAACGAGGCTAAATAACACGTTTTTAAAGCTAAATAACGTTCAGATTTTGCACATTTTTGTCAGTTTAATTTATTTACGTCGGTGTGTCACGTGTGGAGACTTGTTACGTGAAGTTACAACCAGATTATTTAAGAATTATTTAAAAGTTGAAAGTGCTAATACGGATGCTAGTTAGCTGCTAACGTTAGCCTCGGCTATTCGGGATCAAAACAAACAGAACAAACTTCGTCGTGTTCGGGTCGTGTTCGGGTCGTGTTCGGCTCGTGTTCGGGTCGTGTTCGGCTCGTGTTCGGGTCGTGTTCGGCTCGGTTCGTACCTGTTGTTGTTGTTGTTGTTGGTCTTTGGGCTCCGCGGCCTTCCTTTTCCTGCTAACTGTTTTTCGGGCCATAGTCGGACACACACAGGTCCCTCACCCACATGGAGGGGCTCGCAGCGGCCGGGCTCGGGCTCATAAAACGGGGAGGACGGCGGGGGTGTAGAGAAGCTCCGCGGTACCGGCCTCTTCTGGGTGTCAAGAGGCCGCTCACATACGGAGAGTCCGGCCGAGAAACAGGCCTCGGGTCTCGGGTCCGCGGCTCGCTCGCTCGGTCACTCACTCACGGCTCCGGAGGGGGGGATGATGCTCGGTGCTCGGGGCCGCAGAGGGAGCGCTCATCCGCGGGGTCAGGTCCGGGTATGTGGGCACGGGGCACGGGGAGCTGCGGTCGGAGGATGTCGGGGCATAAACGGGCACAAACGGAGCTCTGGCACCGCGCATGCGCACATCGGGCGAACATCAACAACAACAACTAGGCCGTGCGTGCGCGCCGCCGAGACGCGTACGCGCTCGCGTCACACCGACACCAAAAACGTCATCATGTACGTATCAGAAAAATAAGAAAAATATAAATCCACTTTTGAAAGCTTTTTACAATTACATACAATTATTATTATTTATTTATCTATTTATTTTATTATTATTATTTATTTAACCAGAAAAAAGTCTCATATTACTATATTACTATACTATTGTTACTATTATTATTATTTTATTTTTTATTTTATTTATTTTTGTTATTTAACCATTATTTAACCAGGAAAAAGTCATATTACTATACTACTCTACCATTTTTATTATTATTATTTTATTTGATGTTATTTAACCTTTTATTAACCAGGAAAAAGTCTCATATTACTATACTACTATATATATATATATATATATATATATATATATATATATATATATATATATATATATAATTTATTTTATTATTATTATTATTTTATTATTTTACCTTTATTTAACCAGGAAAAAGTCTCCTATTACTATACTACTATACTATGATTATTATTATTATTATAAAATTTTAAAACCTATAAAATCCAAAATTGCAAATGAGCTACTAATAATTTACCTTAACCTGTAGAAATGCATAAATTTTTTTTTCAATGTATTATTACATTTCTCTTTTTCTTATTTTTTCTTTTTTTTTTTTCTGTGATGTATTGCTTTTCATTGGCCTATTTATTCAGTATTTTTTGTCAGTTTTGTGTCAGTTAGAAAAGTTTTATTTACCCAATACTACATATGTTAAATAAATACTTTTAATTTTCATTTCATTCATATGTGCCTTATTGTTTTGTAAATAAAATAAAATAAAAATAATACAAATCTGAACAAAAACACAAAGACATTTATAACCTTTGTGTTTGTGTAATTATAACATCATTTTAAAATGATTTAAAAATGAAACCACTGGTTTAGTCCACATTTACTTCTTCTCTTTATATTTTCATTTTTATATTTTTCATGATTATAACAGAATTAAAAATGAGGTGTTACTTTTGACTCTTCAAGTACATTTTTTTAAACAGGTACTTTAATATTTTTACTCAATTAGATTTTTTCATGTGATACTTTTACTTTGCTCTGGTGTCTGTATTTTGTACTTTTACTCAAACAACAAAAAGTAACTAAACTGAGTAATTCTGGTGTTTTGGTGACACTGAAAGTCCGGTGCAGATCGTCTCTCGGCGGTGGGGGGGCTGTGGTGGGGGGCTGCGGTGCGGGGCTGTTCCTGGCTGTTCCTGAAGCGTCCCTCGGCGGTGGGGGGCTGTACATCATTCTCTATGGAGTCTTTATTTGTGCTTCTGCTGAGTCATTCGGACGTTTGCTCCACGACAACAGACGGAAAAAAGCAGAAGAATCCAGATCTGTCTCCTCCCGTCTACAAACAGTTCAGTCCTGGTTCAATAATAAATTAGTCCTGGTTTAGACCTGGTTTAGACTTGATTTAGTCCTGGTTTAGACCTAGTTTATTCCTGGTTTATATCTGGTTTTAGACCTGGTTTAGACCTGGTTTAGTCCTGGTTTAGACCTGGTTTAGACCTGGTTTAGACCTGGTTTAGTCCTGGTTTAGACCTGGTTTAGACCTGGTTTATTCCTGGTTTAGACCTGGTTTAGACCTGGTTTAGACCTGGTTTAGACCTAGTTTATTCCTGGTTTATATCTGGTTTTAGACCTGGTTTTAGACCTGGTTTAGACCTGGTTTAGACCTGGTTTAGACCTGGTTTAGACCTGGTTTAGTCCTGGTTTAGACCTGGTTTAGACCTGGTTTATTCCTGGTTTAGACCTGGTTTAGACCTGGTTTAGTCCTGGTTTAGTCCTGGTTTAGACATGGTTTAGACCTGGTTTAGTCCTGATTTAGTCCTGGTTTAGACCTAGTTTATTCCTGGTTTATATCTGGTTTTAGACCTGGTTTAGACCTGGTTTAGACCTGGTTTAGTCCTGGTTTAGACCTGGTTTAGTCCTGGTTTAGACCTGGTTTATTCCTGGTTTAGTCCTGGTTTGGACCTGGTTTAGACCTGGTTTAGTCCTGGTTTGGACCTGGTTTAGTCCTGGTTTAGTCCTGGTTTAGACCTGGTTTAGTCCTGGTTTAGACCTGGTTTTAGACCTGGTTTAGTCCTGGTTTAGACCTGGTTTAGACCTGGTTTAGACCTGGTTTAGTCCTGGTTTAGACCTGGTTTAGTCCTGGTTTAAACCTGGTTTAGTCCTGGTTTAGTCCTGGTTTGGACCTGGTTTGGACCTGGTTTAGACCTGGTTTAGTCCTAGTTTAGACCTGGTTTAGACCTGGTTTATTCCTGGTTTAGTCCTGGTTTAGACCTGGTTAGACCTGGTTTAGTCCTAGTTTAGACCTGGTTTAGACCTGGTTTAGACCTAGTTTTAGACCGAATTCGCTCCCCCTTCAGAGCACTACTCCAACAGCTTTGTGTCGTGTTTTTGTGCGTTTCTGGAGAGTTTGTGTGTGTTCGTGTGTGTGGGGGGGGGGGCGTGGGTTCGTGGGCGGAGCCTCGTACACACTCGTACTACTGGAGTTTAAATAGGGCCCAGGAGAGATCTCTAGATGACTCAAACACGTGTGGATGAAACTAAAACCTCTTCAGATTCAGGTTTGTGACGAGGAACAACGTTAGAACACAAGATTTAAAAAAAAATAAATCAGAATCCCGGGTTTTTTATTAAATTAAATTTGTATTTTTTCCGTTTTAAATAATTTAAATAAACGGAGCTGCTGCTGTTAGAAAGAGAAACATTTATTAAATTATATCATGAGGAAATACAATGATCTCTCAACAAAAACACTGTTAACGGTCTCCCCAGATCCTCCGAGGGTCCAGACCCCAGATCCTCCGAGGGTCCAGACCCCAGATCCAGACTCGTCCAATCATCAGAGCTTTTAAATAACAAATATTATTTTTATTCTGTTTATTTTATATTTTTGGTCTTTATGTTTTTATTTATTTCAGAGTTTTTTGGCGTTTAAATCTTTGCAGACCTGTTCTGGTGGTTTAGTCTCGGTTTAGTCCTGATTTAGTCCTGGTTCAGTCCTAATTTAGACCTTGTTTAGTCCTGGTTTAGTCTTTTTTTGTAGATTTTACGGTAAAGTTCAGTGTGATCAATAGAACTGTGACTTCTGACCCCATCTGAGACCATGACATCATCACATGACCTCTGACCCCATCTGAGACCGTCCAGGATCCAAAAACCAGAACCAGAACCAAGAAAAGACCAAAAACCTGGAGCCATGTTGATTTGTTAGTGTTTTTTTTCCGGGGAGACCACGACACGACTCGACTCGGATCCCGAGGCGCCCGGGGCCCGTAAAGCTGCACCGTGGAACTTTTCCCGGTGGAGGCTCCGGCAAACGCTCGTCTCCATGGAGAATAATCCACAGTGCAGCATTAAAGCTTTCTGTCTCCACGGAAACCCAACCAGATGCAGTTACAGGTCAGATCTGTGGAGAGGCGACACCGCTCAGTCAGAATGTCTGTTTATATAAGAGGTTTTGAGGTTTAGTCCTGGTTTAGTCCAAATTTTGACCAGATTTTAACCTGGTTTAGTCCACCTTTAGTAAAGGTTTAGTAAAGGTTCAGTCCTGGTTCAGTCCTGGTTTAGTCCAAATTTTGACCAGATTTCAACCTAGTTTAGTCCCGGTTTAGTCCCGGTTCAGTTCTGGTTTAGACCTGGTTTAGACCTGATGTTTTGACTCTAAATCCTCCTGTGATTTAATAAATATAAAGTGGATCTGTTTAATGCCACACTGCGGAACATTCCGGACAGAACGATATAACGTCTCCATAGAAACAAACAGGTGACGGACCCCAAACCGAAAAGTTCCAGAGTGCAGCTTTAAAGTGCCTCTGACAGGTTGGACACTTCACACAAACACTTCAGGTCATTTATTTATTTTACTCAAATTTTGATTCAACATTTTTCATTTTATTTTTTTAAACAATTTGTGATTTATTTATTTTTTTTTAGATTTCAGATTTTCTCGCGTCACAAACTGATTCTCGATTCAACTCAAACTCTTATTTATTTTTACAACAGGTTTGATTCCGGCAAATCAAAGCTGCACTGTGGAACTTTCCGGGCTCCGTCAGACGCTCGTCCCCACGGAAACGTCACCGCTTCGCCTAAAGCCGCACTAAGGAACATTCCGGAGCTTTCTGTCTCCTCGGAAACCAGACCAGACGCAGTCACAGGTCGGATCTGCGGAGAGGCGACGCCGCTCACAGCCACAACGTCTGTGTTTATACGATTTGAGGTTTAGTCCCGGTTTAGTCCCGGTTCAGTCCCAATTTAGACCTGGTTTAGACCCAGTTTATTCCCAGTTTTAGGCCCAGTTTAGTCCCTGGTTCAGTCCCAGTTTAGTCCTGATTCAGTCTTGGCTTAGTCCCGGTTTTAAACCTGATTTTAGACCTGATTTCAGACCTGATTTCATCCCAGTTTCAACACAGTTCAGTCCCGATTTAGTCCCAGGTTTAGTCCCAGGTTTAGTCCCAGCTTCAGTCCCAGCTTCAGTCCCAGCTTCAGTCCCAGGTTTAGTCCCAGGTTTAGTCCCAGGTTTAGTCCCAGTTTTAGACCCAGTTTAGTCCTGGTTTAATCCTGATTCAGTCTTGGCTTAGTCCCGGTTTTAAACCTGATTTTAGACCTGGTTTAGTCCCGGGTTCGACACAATTCAGTCCCAAGTTAGTCCTGGTTTAGTCCCTGGTTTAGTCCCCGTTTTAGACCCGGTTTAGTCCCTGGTTCAGTCCCGTTTTTTCTGAGCTGTAAATCCTCCTGTGATTAAATAAACACAAAGTCGATGTGTTTAAAGTCACACTGCGGAACATTCCAGTCCATAGAAACAAACAGACGACGGAGCCTCCACATAGTAAAAAAATCCCACAGTGCAGCTTTAAGACTCCTGAGCTCCTGTCACACTTTCACCTGCAGGTTTATGATTCTTTTTTTTTTTTTTTTCCCCCAGTTTCTATGGATAAATTCAACAAAAAATCAGAGAACTTAAACGTCTAAAAAAAAAAAACAAAAGTGCTGAACAGTAAAACGACAATCGCGGGTGACGCCCAGGCAGACCGAGGGACGAGGGCACTTGGTGAGTCCGGCCTGCCCGATCCGGATCCGGGGTCCAGATCTGGTCCAAAGTCTGGGCCTAAAAACCTCCAGAGACTCTGCGCTGCCCCCTGTGGCTCGACCAGGCAGCGCACCCAGCTCCTCTTTTTGTCTTTTTTTTTTTCCTTTCCCAGTTCCGTCTCTTACCGCAAAACCGGCGAGAATTCCAATTTCTAAAAAAAAAAAAAAACGGCCTCGGAATTGCGTTGCCCCGAGAACGTTCCGGACTTCGCGCGGCTCAAACCGTTTCATATCCAGGAGGCGAAATCGTCATCGTCTTAAAATCCTTCGCGAGTTCCGAGAATTTGAAAAATTTCATGCTCGAACTCCCGTGATTTTTTTCCCGTGAATCTTCGGAGGATTCAGCGGCTCCCCGGCGTTTGCTGCTCGGAGGCACAGAGTCGGTGAAGCGCGGCGTGTGTGGGGGGGCGGGGCGTGCTGGCGGGCGGCGTTCGGGCGGCGTTCGGGCGGCGGTGGCGGCGGAGGGAGGGAGGGGGGGGGTCTCTCAGCTCGCCGGCGCCCGGGACATGAGCTCGTCCAGAGCCTTGTCCTGGTCGTTGTTGTGGAACAGGAGAACTTCTTTGATGGCGTCGCGCTCGAAACCCATCTCCCCAAATCTGGACATGAGCTGGAGGAACTGAAGCGCCTGAACGACAACGGAAGGAGGGAAAAACAGAGAAGAACGAGAAAAAAGAGGTGTTCAAGTCAGTCAACTGTGTCAGTGAAGTTTATTCTCCTGAACGAGGACGAACAAGAGAAGAAAAGAAGAGATGGAGGAAGAGAAGAGAGACAGATGTGTGTGGACAGGTGTGTGTGTGTGTGTGTGTGTGTGGACAGGTGTGTGTGTGTGTGTGTGTGTGTGTGGACAGGTGTGTGTGTGTGTGTGTGTGGACAGTGTGTGTGTGTGTGTGTGTGTGTGTGTGTGGTGTGTGTGTGTGTGGACAGTGTGTGTGTGTGTGTGGACATGTGTGTGTGTGTGTGTGTGTGTGTGTGTGTGTGGACAGGTGTGTGTGTGTGGACAGGTGTGTGTGTGTGTGTGTGGACAGGTGTGTGTGTGTGTGTGTGTGGACAGTGTGTGTGTGTGTGTGTGTGTGTGTGTGTGTGGACAGTGTGTGTGTGTGTGTGTGTGTGTGGACAGGTGTGTGTGTGTGTGTGTGTGGACAGTGTGTGTGTGTGTGTGTGGACAGTGTGTGTGTGTGTGGACAGTGTGTGTGTGTGTGTGTGTGTGTGGACAGTGTGTGTGTGACAGTGTGTGTGTGTGTGTGTGGACAGTGTGTGTGTGTGGACAGTGTGTGTGTGTGTGTGTGTGTGTGGACAGGTGTGTGTGTGTGTGTGTGTGTGTGTGGACAGGTGTGTGTGTGTGTGTGGACAGTGTGTGTGTGTGTGTGTGTGTGTGTGTGTGTGGACAGGTGTGTGTGTGTGTGTGTGGACAGTGTGTGTGTGTGTGTGTGTGGACAGTGTGTGTGTGTGTGTGTGTGTGTGTGTGTGGACAGTGTGTGGTGTGTGTGTGTGTGTGGACAGTGTGTGTGTGTGTGTGTGTGGACAGTGTGTGTGTGTGTGTGTGTGTGTGGACAGGTGTGTGTGTGTGTGTGTGTGTGGACAGTGTGTGTGTGTGTGTGGACAGGTGTGTGTGTGTGTGTGTGTGTGTGGACAGGTGTGTGTGTGTGTGTGTGTGTGGACAGTGTGTGTGTGTGTGTGTGTGTGTGTGGACAGGTGTGTGTGTGTGTGTGTGGGACAGGTGTGTGTGTGTGGACATTGTGTGTGTGTGTGTGTGGACAGTGTGTGTGTGTGTGTGTGGACATGTGTGTGTGTGTGTGTGTGTGTGTGTGTGTGTGGACAGTGTGTGTGTGTGTGTGTGTGTGGACAGTGTGTGTGTGTGTGTGTGTGTGTGTGTGTGTGGACAGTGTGTGTGTGTGGACAGTGTGTGTGTGTGTGTGTGTGTGTGTGTGGACAGTGTGTGTGTGTGTGTGTGTGTGTGTGTGTGTGTGGACAGGTGTGTGTGTGTGTGTGTGTGTGGACAGGTGTGTGTGTGTGTGTGTGGACAGGTGTGTGTGTGTGTGTGGACAGTGTGTGTGTGTGTGTGTGGACAGTGTGTGTGGACAGGTGTGTGTGTGTGTGTGTGTGTGGACAGTGTGTGTGTGTGTGTGGACAGGTGTGTGTGTGTGTGTGTGTGTGTGTGTGGACAGTGTGTGTGTGTGTGTGGACAGTGTGTGTGTGTGTGTGTGTGGACAGTTGTGTGTGTGTGTGTGTGTGTGTGTGTGTGTGGACAGTGTGTGTGTGTGTGTGTGGACAGTGTGTGTGTGTGTGTGTGGACATGTGTGTGTGTGTGTGTGTGTGGACAGGTGTGTGTGTGTGTGTGTGTGTGTGTGGACAGTGTGTGTGTGTGTGTGTGTGTGGACAGGTGTGTGGTGTGTGTGTGGACAGGTGTGTGTGTGTGTGTGTGTGTGTGTGTGTGGACAGTGTGTGTGTGTGTGTGTGTGTGTGGACAGGTGTGTGTGTGTGTGTGACAGTGTGTGTGGACAGTGTGTGTGTGTGTGTGTGTGTGTGTGGACAGTGTGTGTGTGTGTGTGTGTGTGTGGACAGGTGTGTGTGTGTGTGTGGACAGTGTGTGTGTGTGTGTGTGTGGACAGTGTGGTGTGTGTGTGTGTGTGTGTGGACATGTGTGTGTGTGTGTGTGTGTGTGTGGACAGTGTGTGTGTGTGTGTGTGTGGACAGGTGTGTGTGTGTGTGTGTGTGTGTGGACAGTGTGTGTGTGTGTGTGGACAGTGTGTGTGTGTGTGTGTGGACAGTGTGTGTGTGTGTGTGTGTGTGTGGACAGTGTGTGTGTGTGTGTGGACAGTGTGTGTGTGTGTGTGTGTGTGTGTGTGGACATGTGTGTGTGTGTGTGTGTGTGTGTGTGTGTGTGGACAGTGTGTGTGTGTGTGTGTGTGGACAGGTGTGTGTGTGTGTGTGTGGACAGGTGTGTGTGTGTGTGTGGACAGTGTGTGTGTGTGTGTGTGTGTGTGTGGACAGGTGTGTGTGTGTGTTTGTGTCTGTGTGTGTGTGTGTGTGGACAGGTGTGTGTGTGTGTGTGGACAGGTGTGTGTGTGTGTGTGTGTGTGTGTGTGTGTGTGTGTGGACAGGTGTGTGTGTGTGTGTGTGTGTCTGTGTGTGAGTGTGTGTGGACAGGTGTGTGTGTGTGTGTGTGGTGTGTGTGTGTGTGTGTGTGGACAGTGTGTGTGTGTGTGTGTGTGTGGACAGGTGTGTGTGTGTGTGTGTGGACAGTGTGTGTGTGTGTGTGTGTGTGTGTGTGGACAGTGTGTGTGTGTGTGTGGACAGGTGTGTGTGTGTGTGTGTGTGTGTGTGTGTGTGTGGACAGGTGTGTGTGTGTGTGGACAGTGTGTGTGTGTGTGTGTGTGTGTGTGTGTGTGTGTGGACAGTGTGTGTGTGTGTGTGTGTGTGACAGTGTGTGTGTGTGTGTGTGTGTGGACAGGTGTGTGGTGTGTGTGTGTGTGTGTGTGTGTGTGTGGACAGGTGTGTGTGTGTGTGTGTGTGTGGACAGTGTGTGTGTGTGTGTGTGTGTGTGTGGACAGGTGTGTGTGTGTGGACAGTGTGTGTGTGTGTGTGTGTGGACAGTGTGTGTGTGTGTGTGTGTGGACAGGTGTGTAGGTGTGTGTGTGTGTGTGGACAGGTGTGTAGTGTGTGTGTGTGTGTGTGTGGACAGGTGTGTGTGTGTGTGTGAACAGGTGTGTGTCGTTACCTTCTCCTCTGAACACTGGTACATTTCCAGACACTCCTCCACAGCAGAAGCATCGAAACCTCGATCACACAGACGACTGTGTACGAACAGGTAATCCAGCACCTGAACACACAACACACACGTTACACACACAACACACACACACACACACACAACACACACACGTTACACACACAACACACACACACACACACACACACACACACACACACACACACACACACACACACACACACACGTTACACACACACACACAACACACGTTACACACACGTTACACACACACACACACAACACACGTTACACACACCACACACACCACACGTTACACACACAACACACACAACACACACATGTTACACACACCACACACACACACGTTACATACGTTACACACACACAACACACACACACAACACACACGTTACACACACCACACACACACACGTTACACACACAACACACACACACACACACACATGTTACACACACAACACACACACACAAACACACAACACACATGTTACACACGTTACACACACAACACACACAAACGTTACACACACACATGTTACACACACACAACACACACACACAAACACACAACACACATGTTACACACACAACACACACACACACACACGTTACACACACACACATACACACACGTTACACACACACACAGACGTTACACACTCACCTGCTCCACGTTCTGGCCCTGCTTCTGCATGGCCCTCAGAACCCCCTCGTACGAGTAGCCCATCCCCACCAGAGTCTCCACGCACTGCCTCTCCTCCGGGGTCATACTGAGCAGAGCGCCCCCACATGGCAGACCCCCGCCCCCGCCGCCGCCGCCGCCGCCCACAGAGTTCACCTGAGGAACACACACACACACTTCACTGATCCACGACGGAAACATCTGACACATGAGCGATAACGACGAGTAAAAACAGAAATGATCATAAAACTCTAAATAAATCATTTTTACCTCCGCCAAGGAGGTTATGTTTTTGTCGGCATTTGTCTGTCTGTCTGTTTGTTTGTTTGTCTGTTTGTTTGTCTGTTTGTTTGTCTGTCTGTCTGTTTGTTTGTCTGTTTGTTTGTTTGTCTGTTAGCAACATAACTCAAAAAGTTATGGACCGATTTTGATGAAAATTTCAGGATTTGTTGGAAATGTGAAAAGGAAGAACTGATTTCATTTTGGGGCTGATCTGGAAGAAATCCTGGATTCTGGATCACTTTGAAATTTTAGTTAACATTGTGGTAAATGGGGCCAAAAATTTTGTTTCTCAATATCTGGGTTAATTATTGACCAAACCCCATGAAAGTTTGACTCAGGGATGGACAATGGGATCCTCTTTCATATTCCAAATTGAAAGATACAAGACAAATATTTATGGAAAACACAATTAATATGAGGGGGACTGTAGTCCTTGGCGGAGTCTGCGCTCTCTGACTGCTTTTCTAGTTACAGATGTGACTTTCTGAGGGAATAAACATAAACACGACACAGAGACAGAGGCAGAAGTCTGAGCTCACATCTGATCTGCAGCTCGGTGAAAGTATCTCCTTTACTTTTCTTTTTGAGGAAATTAAAACATGATAAAAACTCCAAATCCTTGTTTTATTAGAGTAAAGAAGCTTTATACTCTTGTTTACCAGACGGGCTCTTTTGGGGCTCTTCGGCCTGGTTTTAGTGCTGGTTTTAGTCCTGGTTTTAGTCCTGGTTTAGTCCTGGTTTAGTCCTGGTTTAGTCCTGTTTAGTCTGGTTTAGTCCTGGTTTTAGTCCTGTTTTAGTCCTGGTTTTAGTCCTGGTTTTAGTCCTGGTTTTAGTCCTGGTTTTAGTCCTGGTTTTAGTCCTAGTTCTGGTCACAGTTTTAGACCCAGTTTCAACCCAGTTTAGACCTGGTTTAGTCCTCATTCAGTCTTGGTTTACTCCTGGTTTTCCCTCCCTGGTCTTATGGAGTATGAAACGTGAAGCCCAAACCAACCTTGATCTTATATTCTTATGAAGTATGAATATTCCTTTACTCTTTCTTATTCGTCTGTCTACAGCTCCAAAGCTCCAAACGCTCTGTTCCACCTTGTGATGTCATCAAGTGGGAGTTTTCATCAGTTTTCTCAGCTCCTTTTCTCTTTAGTTCACTCGAGATCAGAAACTCCACGACTGAAATGATCCGGATGATTCTAGTGAAGGTGTGTGGAGTTTAAAAACACAGTGGAGCACTTTCTGTATCACCACCTGATGACATCACGAGGTGGAACAGACCGTTTTCTCCTCCTTTCATCTCTAGTGAATGTTGTGTAAAAGTTGGACTCACAGGTTTCGGGGACGCGCTCTTGCTCAGAGGCTCCGGGGTCATGATCACGTCTCCCCGGGGCGTCCTCTGGGGGGAGCCGTTGGGCACCCGGGCGGCGGGGGGCGGGGCTACGTGGTGCTCTGAGTCCGACAGTTTGGGGAAAGAGAGCGAGCGGATGTTGCACGGCCGATCGTCGCCGCCGCCCACCTCCAGCATGGCCACCAGTCCGTTGGCTTTGTGCGCGAAGGCGGGTTTGGGCGGGCGGACGGCGGCGGGCGGAGACGGGCTGTTCCCGCGAGAGCCCGCCCCCCCCACGCCGGGCGCCTCCGCCGGGGACGAGAAGGGCGGAGGCTGCGGCTGGTTCTGCAGGATGCTCTTCAGCTCCTCTTTGTCGTCGATGGTTTTCAGCTCCAATTTGTCGAAGGGGTCCTCCTCGCGCTCGAAGTCCGCCAGGTCCAGGGAGTGGAGGGCGGGCGCGGGCTGGGAGCTGTGCGGGCGCAGCGAGGGGGCGGGCAGAGGGGTGAGGATGGCGTTGTGGCTCAGAGACGCCAACACGGGGTTCAGCGCCGGAGGTGGAGGAGGCGGGTCGCCGGCGTCCGTCTGCCCGGGTGTGGGCTCTTCTCCGGGGGGACCGTCGGCGTCTCTCTGCGCCCTCTCGACCTCCTCCGCCCGCGCCAACGCCGCCCGCGCCTCCGCAAGCTCCGCCCCCCACCGCACGCTGCGCCGCTCCAGAGAGAAGTCATACTGAGGGCACACGACACAAACGTCACACACTCAACACCGTCCTCTCATTCTGACTTAAAGCTGCTCTGTCTGGAATGTTCCACAGTACGGCATTAAACCTTTCTATCGCCATGGAGACCAAACCACACGCAGTTTGTTTTTCAAGGTGTTTCTGACTCTAAAACCACCTGAAACTGAACAAATGTAAAGTGGAGCTGTTTAAAGTCATACTGTGGAACATTCCAGACAGAGCAGTGACGTCGCCATAGAAACAAACAGGTGACTGACCCCCAAACGAAACAAAGATATACATAGTGCAGCTTTAATTTGCTGGGATCACACCTGGGTTCGGTCAAGCAGTAACAGAGGGAAACAGGGTCAGATTTTTGACATTCAAATGTCTCTTATTCAGAAACTAGAGGAACTATTGAAATAAGTAAAGTATCAGAATGTAGGAAAGAGTTACACTCCAACAGGGTCAAGTTAAACCTGTGAGATTCTTTCAAGTTCAAGACAAAAAATAAAAAACTCATGTTGGTAACGGAGGGAATGAAATATGCAGCACTTTTTGGGCAATAAATCCAAACAGTGATAACTCTTGGTTCTCACTTCCATATCCTTAACAAACTGGTTTGAATATTTGCTTCATATAGTTTTCTACCATATGGTACAAGATTAGGTTGAAAAACCTCAGACTTTTTGACTCATGAGATTTTTTATTAAGAAAGTTCATGGTAACGGAGGGAAAAAGTAACGGAGGGAAAATTGTACAAACAAGTAGAAGGTGCAGGATTTTACATCATTTGTCACTTTTTTCTTCTGAAAACTTTAATATTACTTCAAAATGAAAGAAACTATTTCTATAAAATATGTCAGTCCTTCCAAGAACATTTTTATCATTTTAAATACATTTTAAAAAATAAAATAAAATCCTGTCCCTTCATCAACAGTTCAAAGATGGAATAACACAAGATATGATGAAATACATCCATTTATTTACATGATTTTTGGGTCTTTGAAATTTGGGAAATAATTTTTGTTCCATGTTTCATTACATGGTCTGTTTTAAAACGTATGGAACTTTAGAACCAAAAATGGTACAGAAAAAAGGTCAACAGTTTGATAAACTAGAGACATATGTATCTGTTCAATACTTTTTTTTATCAGATGAATTAACTTGAATTTTTGGCCTTGTTGTTTATTTCTGCTTGACTGGGCCCAACAGTTGTAAATATAAATTATAGTTGTTGTTTTTTTTTTTTTTACAAATTAAGAAGCAGTTTGTGAAGTTGTGAAAAATGTGTGAAACAGGAAGTAGAGACGTGTAAACATTTACACTTCAACACATTTTTCTGATATTTTAAACACGATTTCAACCAAATAAAAGTGTTTTTGTCATTTTTGTTTTTGTCAGGTATTGATTTCAGTGACATGAGGAGTTTTTGTAGGTAACAGTTGGAATTCCCCAGTGTGACGTCCCAGAATGTACAATTTTACCATTTTAAAACTGTAAAAATCCTGTTTGTGCTAAAATCTTGTGTGTTTTATTATGAAAACTCGCTCCTCGTTTCCTCAGATAAGTGTGTGTGTGTGTGTGTGTGTGTGTGTGTTGTTCCTGCGGTGGCACTGACCTGGGCGCTGAGCAGGAGGGACGAGTCTGGCACACAGAAGCCCACGGGCAGACCCACTTTGGCCGGGCACCGGAACTTCTCATTCACCTTAAAGGGGACGTCCTCCAGGTAACTCACAGGGCCTGGCACAGACGGGCACAGGCGGGCACAGGCGGGCACAGACGGGCACAGGCGGAAGACAACACCAGAGTTAGAACAGAACACTTTAAGGATGAATTATAGTTCTGTATCAGTTTATCGCTCTCTGTCGCCGTCGCCTTGTCGTTGTTTTTGATTTATGGATGTTCGTCGAGGTTTGTGCGCCGTCGAGTAACTCACCGCCACAACACCAGGAGGCGACGATTTAAACCTGGTGTTCGTGTTTCACAAAATGAAGCGGGAAAGTGGAGAACAGGACGACGTAGACGCTCCGAGGAGGGGTTTCAGGACGACGCAGACCATTGGACGAAAGATCATTAACTGGACTTTAGTTTTAGACCGTTCAGAGTTAAAAATAGGGACGAACAAGGGACAATTTACACAAGTCAAGACGAAATGAGACTGAGAAGACGAGGAGAGAGAAGAGAGCAGAGCGAGAGGAGGAAGAACAGAGCAGAGAGACAGAAGAGGAGAGAGACAGAAGAGGAGAGGAGAGAGGGAGGAGAAAATTCAAATGTCCTGGTCATAGTTGATCCTAAAGAGGCCCATACAGACACGACTTTTACACATTTTTAACAAATCTGCACGAAATTAAGTCCAGAGACAGAGACACACTTCTGTTTTAGACACATTTACACAGAACCAGGAGGAAAAGCTTAGTTTTTAGTAGAGCCCGACCTGGAAGCATATCAGCCATCAGCCGATATGTTTGTTGATAAGGGCCGATATTTCCCGTGGTCATGTGATACGTCGTTATAAATCTTAGACTCTCTACATTCTGTTCATTTAATCCAATTTACAGACAGATAAATGTCCAAATATGTGACTCCACATCAGTATTTATCTGTGGAGTCATTTGTCTGTGTGTGTGTGTCGTACTGTCCCTGAACACACCACAGAGTCACGTCACACTTGTGTGTTTGTTTACACTCACACACTCAGATCCAAACACTTAAATTATTTTCTTTTTACGGACAATCAGTTTGAGTCTGGATTAAAAGGACATTTATTAGTTCATGTGGGAGAGCCTTGTGATGTGGGAGGAGCCTGTGTGAGTCTGAGTGTTGAAATATTTCGACTCTGAAGCTGTTTTGGTCATTTGTTATTGATGATCTGTTGTGTGTCACATAAACAGTCTGTTTTCTATTGATCTGTTGTAAAGTGATTATATTGTTTGTATATTTGTTTCTGCAGCTGCATTGATGTAAATGAGTGTGAACAGACGTGTGAATGATCCACATTTACACATATCATTAATTACTGCGGCGCAGCATTTACGGCTAAAGACTAATAGCACTAGTTTCTTTACTCTCTAGTCGTGATGAGTCGTGAACGAAGCGGCTCTTAGATCCGGCTCTTTGAAGATAACGACGGGAGCCTGATCCTTATTGGGAGCCGTGTTTTCTCTTTCTCTCACTTTTCTTCTCTTCTCGTCGTGTTCAGACTCGTGGGAGTTTGACAGCGGCTCAAAATGAAAGTTTCAGAAATCTGTGTGTGATAGAAAAACCTGCATGTTTGTCTGTAGTTAAAAAAAGAAAATAAATAAACCAGGACTAATCTTGGGCTCGAGAGGCGGAGAGAGACAGAGACCGAGTCCTGACACTCAGTCCTAGCTCAGTTCTGGTTTAGTCCTGATTCAGTTCTGGTTTAGTCCTGTTTGCAACAAAACAATCTGAAGAGTCACTTGGGAGCCGAAAGAGCCGTTTGCTTTTAGTGAGCCGAGCCAAAAGAGCCGGTTCTCTAAAAAGAGCTGAATCCCCATCACTCGTGACTAGAATGTGACGATGTAAAAATGTCATTAGTCCGACTGTCTGTAAATATGACATAAAGAGTCAGAATAACAATAAATGTTTCCTATAAACCCAATTTAAAATCCACCAGAGCCAAACCGAAGTTTTTAAAACAATTCAAAATTTACAGTGAATTTTTACATCACTAAATATATCGGCGATTATATCGACAGCTCCAATGCATTTTATCGGTTTCATATCGGCCACAACAGAATCCATATCGGTCGGGCTCTAGTTTTTAGTTGATTTTAGTGTTTAGTGGCCCGTTCAGAGTTAAACGTGACTGTAGGGGGCGCTGTTTCAGAGAGTTAAACGTGACTGTAGGGGGCGCTGTTTCAGAGAGTTAAACGTGACTGTAGGGGGCGGGTTCGTTAAGTTTTACTGTAGGGGCGCTGTTTCAGAGTTAAACGTGACTGTAGGGGGCGCTGTTTCAGAGAGTTAAACGTGACTGTAGGGGGCAAGAGTTCAGAGAGTTAAACGTGACTGTAGGGGGCGCTGTTTCAGAGAGTTAAGACGAGTTAAACGTGACTGTAGGGGCGCTGTTTCGCTGTTTCAGAGTTAAACGTGACTGTAGGGGCGCTGTTTCAGAGTTAAACGCTGTTTTCAGAGAGTTAAACGTGACTGTAGGGGGCGCTGTTTCAGAGTTAAACGTGACTGTAGGGGGCGCTGTTTCAGAGAGTTAAACGTGACTGTAGGGGGCGCTGTTTCAGAGAGTTAAACGTGACTGTAGGGGGCGCTGTTTCAGAGAGTTAAACGTGACTGTAGGGGGCGCTGTTTTAAGTCCTCACCGTTGTTGTATGCATCTGTTCCAGACTTCCTCGCAGCCATTTAGAGACTCTGAGAAAAAAAAAACACACACAAATTATTATCAGAAAATATTTAAAAAGTCGATTCAAAACAAACGAGGATCCCACGGACGAGTTTGAGCAAAATTATTCACAGATTTCGTAACTGATTCACAAAAAAAACCAAAAAAAAACACGCGTGAGTTTTTGTGAAGAACGTGTCTCAGCTGCTCCTTTCCCCCCTGAGGCTTTAAAACGCCCAAATCACACAGTTTATTATTCCCTCGCTCTGGAAACGCTCTGTCCCACCTCGTGATGTCAGCGAGTGGCGATACGCCCGAGTGCTCCACTGTGTTTTTAAACTCCACACACTAGAATCTATGGGATTATTTCAGTCCTGGAACTGACAAAATCTATTGAACGAAAAAGAAAAGGAGGAAGAGAGGAAGACAGAGAGACAAGAGAGGGAGAGAAGAGAGAGAGGGAGAAAAAGAGAAGAGAGAGGAGAGAAAAAGAAGAGAGGGAAGGAGAAAAGAGAAGAGAGAGAAGGAGAAAGAAGAGAGACAGAAAGAGAGAAAAGAGAGAGGGAAAGAAAAAGAAGAGAGGAGAGAGAGAAAAGAGAGAGGGAGAGAAAGAAGAGAAAAGAGGGGAGAGAAAGAAGAGAGAGAGAGAAAGAAGAGAAAAGAGAGAGAGAGAAAGAGAAAGAAGAGAAAAGAGGGGAGAGAAAGAAAAGAGAGGGAGAGAAAGAAGAGAGAAAGAGAAAAAGAAAGAAAGAGGGAGAAAGAGAATGAAAAAAAAAGAAAGAAAAGAAAGAAAGAAAGAAAGAAAGAAAGAAAAAGAGAAAGAAAGAAAAAAGAAAAAGAGAAAGAAAGAGCGAGAGAGGAGAAGGAGGAGAGAAAGAAGGTAAAGGGAAGGAGAGAGAGGAGAGAGAAGAGAGGAGCTTTTCACTTCATGTTCACTACCACTCGATGACACTCGATGACATCACCAGGTGGAACAGAGAGGAACAGAGCGTTTTGGAGGTTTGCAGATGTGGACAGACGAACAATAATAATAATCAAAATTTACTCAAACAAACACGACTCCAGCTCCGTGTTTGAGGAGGAACATCAGAACATCAGAACATCAGAACATGAGAGAACAGGATCATATGAGGCTCTTTAACTCCGAGGATGGAACCAGGTCTCACATTTTCACTCTAAACTCCGAGGAAAACGGGTCATTAATGTTAAATAAAAAGGACAACAAACTCCAGACTCTGAGTTGTCGTCTGTTGGATGTTCTGCGTGTGTCGTCTGGTCCCTGCGCTCTGTCCTCCGTCCTCTGACTCTCGGCCCCGGTCTCGTTCTCGTGTTTACTCGACAAAGGTCTTTTCACGCCGACACGAGCAGGAGCAGGAGCAGCGGAGGGACGGTTTAGACCTCTGCCGCTAAAGTTCACGCAAAAGTAATCATGTAAATAAGGAACAAGCATCTAACTGTGAAAGAAACACACACATACACTGACACAGACACACACACACTGACACCACACTGACACTGGGCCCCTGCACGCTCCAATCTGTTCTGTTCTCTGTTCTGTTTCTGCTGTTTTCTGTTCTTTTCTGTTCTCTGTTCTGTTCCTTTTTCTGTTCTGTTTTCTGTTCCATTTCTTTTTCTGTTTCTTTCTGTTTTCTCTTCTGTTCTGTTCCGCCTCTGGGGTCGGACGGTGTCGCCCACACGATTCATCACAGTTTCTCCACATTTTTCTCCAAACTGATTTTCGTCTAAATAAAAAAACAAAAACAAACAGGGTCACGCGTCGATACTTTGCTGTGACATCGGGCCGGGGGTGTTCCACGTGTGTGTCTACAAATGGAATGTTCAGCTGTTACCGTGGAGAAACGAGCAACGAACACCGACAAAAAATGCTATAAGATCGGCTGAAAACTCGGAGGGGAAAAAGGAGTTCGATTTTCAGCAAAAAGGTGAGAGTGCGTAAGGTCAGAGTTCAGATAAGTCACATTTTTACGGTCAGATTGTGTTAAAATCAAACTCAGATTCAAGTCTAACAGAGCTTCAGGCGGAGCAGTGCCTTCAGTTAGCGTCACATCAGCTGTAAAGGATCAGCAGGAGTGTAACGCTGTGTTCAGACACACGCAGCGTCAAAAACACGCAGGACGCCTCCAGCTGGAGTCTCTGCATGCGAGTTCAGGCGCGGCCAACGAGCATCGGGAGAAAAATACTTGTCCACACGTCCAGAGCATCCGTTGCCATGGAAAC